CCTTATATGCCATCTATACACATTTCACAATGATATTGATGACCAGTATGACATGCTTGTAAGACCCCACGTAAATTATAATATACTGCCAGATTCAAGATACTCTTGTAACTCTTGTAACCCTGTTGCCAATTGCCCTTAAGGAGTTCTTGGGTCATGGGTCCCCTTCCTACGTTCCCTGAGGAATCTTAAAAATCATTTTCTCACATGCACTTTTTAAAACTCCTTATTAGAAGGTTTAGGATCTTAGTGGCAACCATCTTTGTGGTCATACGAGACTGGAAAGACTCCATATAAATCAGACACAGTGAGCAGTCTGTGTGACAAAAGACATCATCTCCCCTCCCACCAGTCCCTCTGCAGCAGAATACACTTTTATCTATCCTCCTGAGATGGCATTGGAGGGAGAGATCAGCATGAGAAATTAAATCCACATCTCCTGAATTACAACATAAAGTTTCACCACCAGTGAATTTTAATTCTTTATTACAAGCTAAGTGAATGGAGTTAATTTATCTTTCAATTTCTTTACCTTATTTTTCAGTGAAGCATTTTAACTGAATAGCTGATGCAAAATGTATTTGTAGGCAAAACAACAGATATTGCAAACTCCTTGTGGTTTGCAGCGCACAGACCACCAACTTCCTGCTAGAGCAAAAGATGCTTCTGATAAAATTATAGAGAAAGTAGCACAAAGTAATACAAAAGATCCACTGTGAAAAATCTTTATTCAATTCACTTTTTATTCCAATGCATGATTTTCAGTTGTTCTTAAAATGATTATCTATAATGAAACTTCTTTCCCAAACTGAATTAGAAATATATTAAAATTCTCTTCCAATTTTATTTTCATTTTCTCACAAAATAGGAAAAAATGGCTTAGAAACCTAGACAAATTTGAAAGAGAAGAGTTCTTGAAACTACAGGTTAAATCTCTCTAATTATGGCATCCTCAGAACCTGATGGGTGCTGAAACAGAGAATTTGCTGAACTATGGGAGGTCAAGCTAGCCTAGCAGCATTACCAACAATTCCATTGCTTACTGGGCTCTTAGAAGACATTTACTGTGTATATTAGAACTAAATAACAGCACACAACACTGAGAACCAGGACTGGTGGCTGTAAACAAACTTTATGGGAAATTTAGCCACACCACAAGTGGACATGCCGGACCACAGATGTTTCTGAATCAGAGAGTGCCAGACTAGAGAGATTCATCCAGTATACAGGCTTACACATGGCAGAACCAACTCATCACTTCATCCCACTGAGGTAATACACTGAATTATATAAGTGTTAATATGTGGGAAGTGTCTTGGACAAGATCTTAAACAATTAGAAATCCTATTTACTCTATGTGGATACTGAATACGCAACAGAACTTTCTGGAAGAACAGAGATTTGACTCAATATCCCATGCCAAAGTTTCTTCCAAGTCCTCTGACAATGTTAATGTCTGTACCAGTTGGTTGATGCCCTTTACCATGGAAATGGCTGCTTTTCAGTAGTACTGTAGACTTACGGTTTGTTAAGCATTTTGTCATCATTCAGAACAAAAAGCACTATAGGGCTACGTCTACACTGGCCCCTTCTTCGGAATAGCCTTGATAATTTAGAACTTTGGAATAGGGAAATGCGAGGGGGATTTAAATATCCCCCGCGGGATTTAAATAAACATGGCTGCCGCTTTTTTTCCGGCTTGGGGAAAAGCCAGAAAAGAGCGTCCAGTAGGAATAAGAGATCCTCTGGAACAGGGCTTTATTCCGGAGGATCGGGCCAGTCTGGACGCTTTTTTCCGGCTTTTCCCCAAACCGGAAAAAAGCGGCGGACATCTTTATTTAAATCCCGCGGGGGATATTTAAATCCCCCGCGGATTTCCCTATTCCGAAGTTTAAAATTAGCATGCCCCTTTCGAAAAAGGGGCCAGTGTAGACGTAGCCCCGGTTTACACTGATGTAACAGAACAGAATTCAACACAGTATATCTTAATTTTAGGGTTCTCTTTCAAAACACAGTTGGACAACTGAGAATCAATCATTGCTTCTGCAGGGATCTGTTTTGGAACTGGTTCTGTCCAATATTTTCATCAATGATTTAGATATTGGCATAGAGAGTATGCTTATTACCAGGGCTTGCCGAACCGCGGCGAGCCTCGCTCGCCAGCCACGCTGTCCGGCGATCTGCGCATGCGCACACCGTGCTGCGCATGTGCAGATCGCCCGAACCTGGCACTTCTGGGTTGCAATCTACTCGCCACGGGCAAGCAGATTGTATTATTTGTCGAGCCCTGCTTATTCTGTTTGCAAATTATACCAAAATGGAAGGAGTCATGCTTTGGAGGATAGGATCAAAGTTCAAAATTATCGGCACAAATGGACTGAGGTAAATAGGATGAGGTTTAATAAGGAGAAATGCAATGTATTCCGCGTAGGAAGGAACAACCTACGTTTCATACATACAGAATGAGAAGCTACTGTCTAGGAAGGAGTACTGTAGAAAAAATCTAGGAGTCATAGTGGACCACAAGCTAAATATGAGTCAACTGTTGCAAAAAAAGCAAATATGATTCTGGGATGCATTAACAAGAGTGCTGTGAGCAAGACACAAGAAGTTATTCTTACGCTCTACTCTGCACTGATTAGGCCTCATTTGGAGTATTGTGTCCAGTTCTGGGCACCACATTTCAAAAAAGATGTGGAAAAATTGGAGAAGATCCAGAGAAGAGCAACAAAAATTATTAAAGGTCTAGAAAACAGGAGCTATGAGGGAAGATTGAAAGAATTAGGTTTGTTTAAGTTTAGAGAAGAGAAGATTGAGAGGGGACACAATAACGGTTTTCAAGTACCTAAATGGGTGATACAAGGAGGAGGGAGAAAAATTGTTCTCCTTGGCCTCTAATGACAGGCGAAGAAGTAATGGGCTTAAATTGCAACAAGGAAGGTTTAGGTTGGACATTAGGAAAAACAACTTAACTGTCAAGGTGGTTAAACACTGGAATAAGTTGCCTAGGGAGGTGTTGGAATCTCCATCACTGGACACATTTAAGAGCAGATTGGGTAGATGTAGATCAGGGATGATCTAGACCACAAGGGGGGAAAGGGGCCTCCATGGGCCGGATTCAGCCCACCAAATGTGTTGATCCGGCCTGTGGCTGACCTGCTCCTCACTCACCCCGACTGGAACCGTGCACCGCTGGCAGGGTGGAGTGGGGAGTGAGAAAATGTGCACGCTTTCCCGTCCACAGAGTCTTCACAGCAGCTGGGAAGTGTGGCACTGGGAGGAGGGGGGGGCGCCTCCCAAACTATGGGGAAAGCCTCTCTTCAGCCCCGCTCCTGATGCTGCTGCATTCTTTTCTTTTCTTTTCTTGGGGGGGGAAGTGCACCCCCTTATTGGCCTGGGGCAGAGGTAGCACAGCAAGGGAGCCTCACATTGCCAGGGGCGTGCAGCACCTACAGGGAACTGCCAGCTGTTCAAAACAGCTGGCAGTTATCTCTAAGCACCAGGCACCCTTACCAGGACAGGGGATAAAGACTTCACACACTCCCCTACCCCCAGGCCAATTAGGGTCTGTGGGTGGGGAAGCATTCAAAGTCTCCTGGCCTGGCCATTTCTGCCCAAAGCCTCGCCCCTTCTGGGGCAGCCTGCGACCATTTTAGAAATTTGCAAAGTGGCCCCCTTTCAAAAATTATCACCCACCCCAATCTAGACAGTGCTTGGTCCTGTAAGGGTAAGGGATTGGACTCAAAGACCCTTTCAGTTATAGTATTCTATGATTCTTTGATTGTTATAGAACAGTGGTCACCAACCAGTAGATGGGATCTACCAGTAGATCTTGGATCCTCTGTCAGGTGATCCTGAATGGTTTGGCTGGGAAGCTATCAAGTGCTGGCATTTCAGTTGCCCCTCCACCCACTGTCATGCTTTCCCTGCCCTATGTCTTGGAGCTGCCCTTAGGAGCCAACTGCTTGCTGTGCATGTTGATGGAGGGAGAAGAGGAGGGGGCTTTGATATCCAGGTGTCCTTCCCCACCCCACTCTCGTACTCCACAGAGAGAGAAGGGGATGCGGGGAGCTTGGCAATACAAATCTCTGTCACTCTCACACTGTGCAGGTTTCTGTCACTCTCACAAACACACACTGCCCTTCCCCCTCATTTCCTGACCCAACATGTATATGGGGAGGGTTGTTACTACTTTTACTGCTTGCAAAGTGGCTTATTTTTAATTTTTAAATGGTCTGTGTATTTCATAACTTTCATTTCTCTCTTATGCTTAAATTTAATTCTTTGAGTGGTGAGTTCTTAAATGCCTAACCTTTGAATCTGGAGTAATTATCCCTATGGCAATTGTGCTCCTGAAAGTGGCTGGCATGTCCGTGCAGACCCAGAGAAAGTCAGAGCAGGGGATCTCCACATATTGTCCTTGCCTGCGGACACCACTCCTGCATTGATCAATAATGGAGAACCTTAGCCAGTAGAAGCTGTGGGGTTGGTGACTGTAGATGAGGGGCAGCGCGTGGAGCCACTGCTGTACACGTCAGCTGCTTTCAGGGGTGGAAGAGGGCCAGGGCAGGAATAAGCCTGCCTTAGCTCCGCTGCTCCATTTCTGGGGCAGCTGTCAGGCCACTCCCAAGGTGGGAGTGATTCAAGCCAACAACCCTGCCCTCCCCAAGCAAATGTGCTATCCTCTACACCACAAGAATAATCTAGTTTAGTGAATCTCTAGTATTTTTCTGGTAAAAGGGGTCACATAAATAACATTCCATCAAAAGTTTGAAATATTAAAGAATAGTTGATATATCGATAAAAAAGTACAAGCAACTAAATCATTACTGCAGTGCAAAAACTGATGTGTAATGTTATTAATACTAAAAAACCCTTGAAGACAGTTTCCTGCCTGCCTAAGGCAAATCATCTGTTCCTGGATACTGCAGGAGAATTTGCTGTGCTAATTTTTTTTACTTATTTTTCAAATAAAGAAGATCTTGTTTAAAGTGGTTTACCTGCAGTGTCATACAAATTCAGAATTACTTCTTTATTGCCAACTGTAATACTGGTAGTATACTTCTCAAAAACAGAAGGTGCATATTTCTGTCAAAAAAGGAAATACAATTCTAGTTACATGGTATTGTACTATTTTGCACTTCCCTAATCCCTCCCCACCAGGGATCACAAAATTCTTTATAAGCATGAATGAAAAAGACTTGTATGAAATCTGTTAGACAGATTTTACCCCATTTTACTTATGAAGAAGATTAAGCAGTCAGATTTAAATGACTGGTCTGCTGTCACATGGCAAAGAACGGAAGGGTTAGAAACAGCTCTGACATCTCCTGGAGGCCGAGAGCCAAGAGTACATATCCCAAATAGAACAAGTTTAATTCTCTGAAATACAAAAAGAAAGGACGGGTTTGCCTGTGACAGATTCCCCGTTTTATCTGACTCTCACCATCACTTCTCTGGCTCTTTAACTGCCGTTACCCAAAAGCCCCCATTACTGGTTTCAATGCCGAGGTTTATCCGAAAGTTAAGGCGGTTTTACAAACGCCTTTGACCAAAAATGACTTCAACACCTGAAGGCAGCACAAAGCATCTGCTACAGCAGCCCCCCGCCCGCCAAGCAGATTCCCCGTTTTATCTGACTCTCACCATCACTTCTCTGGCTCTTTAACTGCCGTTACCCAAAAGCCCCCATTACTGGTTTCAATGCCGAGGTTTATCCGAAAGTTAAGGCGGTTTTACAAACGCCTTTGACCAAAAATGACTTCAACACCTGAAGGCAGCACAAAGCATCTGCTACAGCAGCCCCCCGCCCGCCAAGCCCCACTCTCCCA